GTTGCGCCGGCGCTAAACGGACGCACTGCCTCGCCGGGAGGCCGCCCCAGCCGCCCCGGTAGGGCCCTGCGTGAGCCGTCGCGGACTGTCTCCCCCCACAGGTGCAGACCCACATCTCCCCGTATCTCCCCCATATCTCCCCATATCTCCCCACAGGTGCAGAGCGAGCTGCTCAAGGCGGCCGCCAAGGCGGGCGCCGGCGCCGCCGCCGCGTCCGTCTCGGGAGCCGCAGCGCCTTCGGCCGCGCCGCTGCCGCCGCCCACGAACCCGCGGCTGGCCAACCTGCCCGAAGCGACGCAGCGCGCGATCGCCGCCGCCACAGCAAAGGCGCAGCTCGCGGCGAACAAGTTTGCGCTGCCCGGGGCGGCCGGCGCCAGCGCCGCGCCGACGCTGATGGCGCCGCTGATGCCGCAGCGGCACGTCTCGGAGCTGGAGATCAACGACTACCCGCAGACGGCGCGGTTCAAGGTCACGAGCCGCGAGACGATCCAGGGCATCGAGGAGTGGACCAAGGCGGCAGTCATCACTAAGGGCACCTACTACCCGCCCGGCCGCAACGCGCCGCCCGGCGAGCGCAAGCTCTACTTGCACATCGAGGCGGAGACGCACGAGGCGATGAAGGCTGCGCGCAAGGAGCTCAAGCGCGTGCTGCAGGAGCAGTCCGTCTTCTCCGCGCCCGACGACTCGTCCACCAACCGATACGCCAAGTACTCGGTATGACACACCGCCCGCAGGGGTGAGCGGGATGGCACTCGAATTTTACGGACGCGGTCACGGTTCTTGTCTCTGGCGGGGCGCCGCGCCCTCGACTCACTCCGCACGAGCGGGAGGGAGAGCGGGGGGGAGATAGGAGATCGTGTACGGTGCGAGCAGTAGAGTTATATAATGTAGTATCATGATGTAGCCGCGGATATGCGGATTGCGGGGTAAACACATGGACGCACGAACACAGATCCGGGAATGGGGAAACAGAAATCAAAAACTAAAAATGCGTATTGCTATATAAGGCCGTTCGGCCGCGATGCGCGATCTTCGAAGACCAGGACGCAAGAGCGATACGAGAGGGCCGGCCGGCCTTGAGCGCTTGGGGGAGTCGAGGAGGAGGAGGGATAATGGAGGTAACGTGGGGACAGGCCAACACAGCCAGTGGGACGAACGAGGGGGCCGCGACGGCGGCTCAACCGTTGAGGCTCAAGCGGGAGCTGGGGGAGCGGAGACACGCACACGGGGCAGCGAGCGAAGTGGGTGAGACTGATGATGCTCCTTCGACTTAGGAGCGGCCTCAGCTGCTGGGCGGGCTTCAGGTGCTCACGCGAAAAGGAATCGACGCGATGTGCAAAGCAATACAACGAGAAGGAGAAAGAAGAGGAGAGACACCAGTGATGACGAAACAGAAGCTAGCGCAGACCAGGCGCAGAGAACTCTGCTGGAATTTAGCGGGTTGGCGAGAAGGGGGGGAGAGCCCAATGTGAGGCGTGCTGATGTCATCACAATCGCCAAGCAAACTCAAATGCGCGTCGTTCCGAAAGAGCCTGTGTTTCGACCTGTGTTCGCACTTCATGCCACTTGCTCCTTCGCCAAGAGCACTTGCGAGACGACCCTTGCGATGTTGATGGGCCAGAAGACGCTACTGTTGCGCCAGTCGGGCCGGAGCACGAGCTCCTGCAATTGAGGTGTGGGAGCGATGGGGCGGAGTGCGGAGCGATCAGTCGGCAGTTGCGAGGGCCCGATGGGGAGGGGCGGGGCGGACTACGGGGATCGGCTTCTTACACAGCCCTTCCCTGCAGCGAGCCCCCCTCCAACCCACCCGCGCTAGGTCTCGGGGGACGCAGGGGTCACACCCGACGACCTCGGGAACTAGCCGGGGCAGTCGGAGAAGGGGCAACTCCGTGCACTGACGGTCGGCCGTCAGAAAACACGCCTGCGTGGATCGCGTCACACCAATCCTCGCTACCCAACGGCCAACCGTGACCTTGCCTCTGGCGGAAAGGGGAGGCGGGAAGTGGGTGGGAGATGCAGGGGGGGGAGTGCGGGCGGGCGAGGGTCGCGCTAGATCGCGCTCCATGATGTCTCTATGGCGCACCTCGCCCATGGTTCCCTCGCCCTGGTGGGTGGGCCTCTACTCGCCGCGGCCGGGGCAGACCCTAGGAACACACATACATACAAACAAACAACAAAGTGTTAGAGTTGTTTGGTATTGCAAATCTCTCTCAAAATACATACAGACCCTACCATGCCGACGGCTTTAGTTAGGGCCGAATATCACGGGCAGGCGGCACACACTTGTTGCTCGCTTGTTGCCCCGGTTTTTGCTTTTGTGTTTCGAACGGTTGATGAACCAAAATAAAAATAATTCGTCGTCCAAGAGAAAGAATTTTTGACCGTCCTTGTGTAACCGTCTCATGTTTGGTTTGTCCTGCCGCGCACATTGTCATCGACTTGTATCCGACTTGGTGGCTGTGGTGATGTAGCGATGGTGTGGGTCTCTAGTGACCTATACAGCTCCTCCGTGTTCCGTCTCCTGACATGGTACCGACCGGTGAGTGCACGGAGTGAGCAGTGCGGCACTGAGGCCGACATGAGAGCTGGTGCGGCACACAAGCGAGATGTGTTGCCGCACAGCATTTCCGGCTTACGCTCGATACGTTGGCTGGCACCATGGGCACCTGCGCGAGCCGTGGTGATTGGCTGGGCACAGAGGCTCGGCGCACGGTGGCACAGCGGCCGCCAACTGCTCGGCACGGAGGCTGAGCAGAATGAGTACAACCGCAACATCAACTTGGGTGCTTGCGGATCTTCTGCGACAGAGCGCATCTCCGCCAGCACTGCGGCTGTGTGGACACGAGTATCCCCTCTTGCTTCTCCTTACCGGTCCGTTCTCCTCGCCTACGGACCACCATCGCAGCTGCTGCCTCCGCTACCAGCTCTCGGGCTGCTGCAACGGCAGTTACCGCAAAGATCTCGCACCGAATGTGGACCCTGCCTTTCGCCGCCGCTACTTCCGACGTCGCCGCTCGACACGACCGGAGCTGTACGCGATGAACACGCGACGATCGACACGCCCTCTCTGCCTTGTGTGGCGATTACCACGTCGTGGGGGAGTGTTGGGCATCTGTTCGACGTGGCAATGCCACTCTACCTCATTGCTGTCTCTTCCTCGTCTCGCCTCCTCGCGCTAGCCCGTCCCGCTATCCAACGCCTCTGGCAAGAAGTCCAATGCGCCTCTACGAGCGCCTCTGCCGTCTGGACGTCTGAGACTGAGCCTGCCATCTCCGACGTCGGCGGCCCGTGGCGCAACATCAACGTTCGGGGCATTGAAGATCGTCCTCACGTCCCTGATGCGCTCATCCGCGTCAACGCGGCGAGGCCTCCCAACGGCCCAGTCGCCGCGCAGCAACGGGGCGCCCCCGCTGCCGCTCCCGCGCCCGCCGCGCCTGCCGCGCCCGCTCAAGCCGCCGCCCCGCGACGCTCAGCCCGGATTGCAGCTCGCGGCGCGCCATGACCGAGCTCCACAACGAGCTCCTGTTCATTATCTCCCCTTTCTCTCTCTCCGCCCACTCGGCCGCGCTTTGACCCCTTCACTGGATCATCTTAGCGCGCAAGTCTTGCCAACAAGCAAGACCATCCTTCGCGAAGACGCAAGGTTGGACGCTTAGCCAGCCCCGCGAGACGCCGGCGGGTAACCGGCATACCTACGCTCAGACACATTCACACTCTGCTGTTGTTGTCTGCCGCATCCTCATTCATGAAGACTGCGGAGACAATGGGGGAGTGTTGGAGAGTGTGAACTCAAACCTACTTCCTGACCGTAGCCTGACCGTCCTTGTGTAACCGTCTCATGTTTGGTTTGTCCTGCCGCGCACATTGTCATCGACTTGTATCCGACTTGGTGGCTGTGGTGATGTAGCGATGGTGTGGGTCTCTAGTGACCTATACAGCTCCTCCTTGTTCCGTCTAGAGAAAGAAACAATTTTAGCCCAGAGAAAGAAACGGTGCCTCTTCGCATCGCCTGGCCCTCGCAGCGCCTGGCCCTCGCAGCGCCTGGCCCTCGCAGCGCCTGGCCCTCGCAGCGCCTGGCCCTCGTACGAACGTCCACATGCGTACACACATGCATCCCCTTCTGGCAGCCCTCCTCGCCCTCGCGTCGTCGTGCGGCGCGCTCGTCGTGCCGCTGCAGCCTCGCGTGGGCTCCTTCCGCCTTCCGCCCTGCAGCCGCGGCCATCGACCACTACTATCCGGGCCGCTCGATGTGTCGGATCTCGGTCTCACGATGGACGACCTGGAGACGCCACTGCCCGACCTGGCGGGTGGGAGCAGCATCGCGACGAGCGGTTGCGAGAGCACCTCGCGTTTGCCAGGGAGCGACGACAGCGGGTGCAGATGGGAGGAGACTGCCGAGCGGATCGAGGCGAGACTGTCGATCCCCGGCCTTCGAGGGCAGCCGGCCGCTGCCATGGGCGTTGAAGTGACGTCCGCGACCGCGACGATCACCGCCTTCGGTCGCGTGGTCTGGTCGTGCGTCCTGCGCGGCGCTTGTGTCCCCGACACCCTGACCTTCTCTGCTGAGGACGGTACGGGGATGCTGCCGGAGATCTCCATCTCCATCGGCAAGGCTGAGCCTGGCAAGCGCTGGGGCGGCCTCATTGCGTCCATCGGCGAGGACAGCATCCTATGACACAGCTTTCCCGCGCCTTCCTGTTCCTCTCCACACGCCGCGCAAGCGGACTCTGCCACGCCGGGGGTATCGGAGGTCTGTACTAGTGCGGCAGCCCGCGCAGGCCCTCTCTCCGCAAGTCACCACTCTCTCTGGATACAACAATCGTTCGTCTCTACCCACTACCACCGGCACCTCCATATATGTCTCGTCACACGAGAACCCGATCCCCCTGATTTCCATATGCTTGCAGGCTGCGTGGGTGCATAAACGTCGTTTTCTTTGAGTCGGTGTGGGGAGAAAGAAAGAATACTCAAACAGACATATCCAAATCTCCCACGCGCACCGGGCCTTGCACTGTCGTTACTGGGCGGCTGGGTTTTTAGGCATTGTGGGGTTGGCACTCCCATCGACCCTCATGACCTCCTGCGGTCTCTGAGATGGACACCAGTGGGTGTGGGACCACAACCAGGATACACTCGAAGGCTGGGTAAGCAGTAGAGGTCGATAATCGACGCGTCCCACATGGTATGTGTCGCTGTCGGCACGCTGTCGACAGGACGTCAAGCGACACCGGTGGCAGTGCCACCCAGGAGTGGTCGGGCGGTCTTCCGTCATGAGAGAGCCACCATGTGATCCGTATGATGATTCCTGACAACCGCCTCAGTCAACTTTTGTCACAGTTCCCGCTCTTAGAGGAGCTGCGGGTCAGTTCGACAGCTGGAGCTGTGTCGCCGGCGTGCGGCGGCCTGCCTCCGGAGGTGCCTCTGAGGTGGACATTTTTTGGTCACCGTGAGAGAACGCGTTCGAACTTTCACTCCGGAACTTCAACTGAGCACGCGCACCGGCCAGGGCTACAATAGTGCCAGTGAGGCGAAGGCGCGAGTCGGAAGGCCGCGACCGTCAAGTGTCCCGTCATTTTCCTACAATCGCTGTGAACCCAGCCACGTAGACGCTAGTCCCCCATCGGGAGGACGACCCCGGCTAGTCGCCGACCACACCCACAAAGAACCCTGCACAAAGACCGCAGGGCGGGGACCTGTTCCTTTTTACCCATCTCCTAGTAGAGGTGTCCGTTTTATTTATTTATTTAGACGTGGAGACGCGAGGGTTGCCCCCCCTTGCCCCACCACCTCGTGTGTGTGGAGAAGTTTACCTTACCTTACCTTACCTCCAAATCTCGCATTCAAATGATTTTGATATCTCCCGAGTCTACCTCAGAAGGCTAGTTCCAATTCACTCTGACACGCTAATCTTGAAAACGTCCAACGGAGCTCCGTGTTGCTCCCAGCGCCCTCCCCCGCGCTCCCTGCGGCCATGGCCGATGATGCTAGTATGAGAGGTCATCTGGCTACCGCGAGAGCGACCCAAAACTCGTCGACATCGTCCGATGATGGTGCCGCAAAGTCAGCCTTCGGAGGCTATCGTGGGGTCGAGCCGTCAGTAGCCGTGACATGTGGTTCCACCACCCCTCGTAGGCTTTGCCTCTGACCGCCACCGTTCCCAGGCTACCTTATGGGATGGAAAGGAAGGCTGGGCGAGCGTATAGAAGCGTGCTCGACCTCGTCGTGGCAACCTGCAAGGCAGCGCTGGCAGGCGCGATGAGCGTCGCGCCACCTGACCCGAGACGGGTCGCAGGCGTCGTACCGAGCGCGTCAAGTCCGTGTACTGATGTGCTCTGTACGGGCGAGTCACGTCGGCGTCAAAGGAGCGACGTGCGACCTGTCAGAGCCTGCTCTCAGATCTCAGCGGCGTCGAGTCGTCTCCGGCGGCGACAATTCGGTTCGTCGGCATCACAGCTGCCTCTGGAAGGCACCGAGAGGTACCAAATGGCGCAAATGACCAAAATCAAGATTGGTGGCCGTCCGCGCGTCCGTCCGTCAGCGTGTGCGGGGTGTACGTCCGTCCGTGAAGTCCACAGCATATGGCGTTGTGTTCTTGCTTTTTCGACTTTCTCTTTCTTTGCATTATGGAGTCCGCACCGGCGGCGGCGGCGAGGAAAAAGACGAGGAGCCCGTGCCGGTCGCGGATGGCTTCGAGGCGCCCATCTTTGGCGCGCGCGTCGTCGGCCAGGTCACCACGCTGGCGCTCGAGGGCGGCTCTCTGGCATCGCTCGGGTCGGTTGGCGTTGCGAGCGACCACGCGGGCGCCTGGTACGTCTCGACCAAGGACTCTCTGCTGCACGTCTCGGCGGCCGGGCGCGTGCGCCGCGTTGCAGCCTTGCTGGCAAGTGGAGTCTGCTACACCGTTGCCGCCAGCCCCAACGGGAGCGCGGCGTTTGTGGCAGACGACACCAACCACGAGATCCGGCGGGTGGAGTTGGCGACGGGCGCTGTGACGACGCTCGCGGGAAGCGGCGAGGCTGGTGACGCGGATGGCGTGGGCGACGCGGCGGAGTTCTTCGGCCCAAATGGCATCGCCATCAGCCCCGACGGCAGCGCGCTGTTTGTGGCGGACTTCAGCAACCACAAGATCCGGCGGGTGGAGGTGGCGACGGGCGCTGTGACGACGCTCGCGGGAAGCGGCGAGGATGGCGACGCGGATGGCGTGGGCGACGCGGCGGAGTTCTTCGGCCCAAATGGCATCGCCATCAGCCCCGACGGCAGCGCGCTGTTTGTGGCGGACTTCAGCAACCACAAGATCCGGCGGGTGGAGGTGGCGACGGGCGCTGTGACGACGCTCGCGGGAAGCGGCGAGGATGGCGACGCGGATGGCGTGGGCGACGCGGCGGAGTTCTTCGGCCCAAATGGCATCGCCATCAGCCCCGACGGCAGCGCGCTGTTTGTGGCGGACTTCAGCAACCACAAGATCCGGCGGGTGGAGGTGGCGACGGGCGCTGTGACGACGCTCGCGGGAAGCGGCGAGGATGGCGACGCGGATGGCGTGGGCGCCGCGGCGGAGTTCTGCTACCCAAATGGCATCGCCATCGGCCCAGACAGCAGCGCGCTGTTTGTGGCGGACTTCAGCAACCACAAGATCCGGCGGGTGGAGGTGGCGACGGGCGCGGTGACTACGCTCGCGGGTAGCGGCGAGGAAGGCGATGCTGACGGCGTCGGCGATACGGCGCAGTTCAACGGCCCACTGGACCTCGCCATCAGCCCGGATGGGAGCGCGCTGTTTGTGGCGGACTCCGACAACGACAAGATCCGGCGGGTTGAGGTGGCGACGGGAGAGGTGACGGCGGTCGCGGGCAGTGGCACAGAGGGCAGCGCTGACGGCGTGGGCGACGCGGCGCAGTTCGTAGGCCCAGATCAAGTCGCCATCAGCCCCGACGGCAGCACGCTGTTGGTCAGATCGAGAGGTTGCCTCCGCCAGGTCTGCCTGGCGGCGCCTCCTCCGCCTCCCTCCTTTGCCCCGATCGTCGTTCCGCCCTCCACCATCCTGGCTGACTTCGCAACGACGCGGGGCGACGCCTCCCTGCCAGAGGGGAAAGTCACCTTCCTGGTCGGCGACGACGAGGAGCGCATCGAGAACGTCAGCAAGTGCAACCTCTGCGCCCGGTCCCCGGTCTTTCGGACCATGTTCGGCATCGGCATGAAGGAGCGCGACGCCGCCGAGGTCACGGTGCCGCACACCAACCTTGCCAGCTTCACCGCCCTCGTCGACTACCTCCTCTCCGACAAGTTCGACCTCGGCGAGGAGGAGGGCAGGGCGCAGCGCGCGCTCGACCTGCGGGAGCTGGCGCAGATGTACCAGGTGCCGCGCCTCGAGCTGCTCTGCGCGCAGGCGCTGCAGGAGAGCGTAGGGCCGGCGAGCGCCGTGCCGCTGCTCGAGGCGGCGCACACGCTGGGCGACGGGCGGCTCCTCGCGCAGTGCCGCCGCTTCGTGGCCGACCACGCCGCTGAGGTGCGCGCGAGCGGTGGCGTGGAGCAGCTGCGCGACTTTGGCGTGGCCAAGGGGCTGCTCGGCGACGCGCTTGACCAGGTGGCGGAGCTGAAGGGGACGGTGGCGGCGTGCTCCGCGGAGCTCGAGAAGGTCCGGGCATGAGCGAGGGGCAGCGCCTCACGCGCCACGCCCTGCTCGCTCGCCGTTTGGTCGAGCTTGGCACAGTGAGCAGTGTGCACGACACTCAGACGTCAGAGCGCAGCGCGCGCCGTGTACAGGGAGCGCGATCCTCCGACACCGTTGATGTCCCGGGTACGTATAAGTACGTCAGTATTCTCGCATTTTCTCTTTTCCTCACTGCAGGTTTTGGCATCACAAACCGCGACACAAATCCGTACTGGCTCTGGTGCGTGGTGGCGAGCAGGGCCTCCCTCTCACGCACATATCCAGCACGCCAAACTCGCCCGCCTCGATGCAGATGCTCAGCCCGAACCCGAGCGACGTGATCGCCAGCGACGGCGCCAGATGCTGCGAATTTTCCACCGCCGGCAGCCGCGCCGTTGGCGGCGTGGAGCGGAGTCCGAGCCACAGCGGGCTCGCCTGTTCATGGGACGTGTCGTGGACGGGGTCAGGGGCGTGTGCTAGGTGCCAACTGCTCGGAGTACAGCGCTGAGAACAAAGACCTGTGCTCCCCATCTAGGCCTCGAGATCTGGGGAGGTATGGGGAGATATGGGGAGATATGGGGAGAATTAGAAGTCGCAGGATTGTGAGCAGCACTCCTCGCAATCGTAGCATCTCTGTGCGATTGTGAGCGCCTACGCTCGCAATCCTACATCTTCTAGGTAGGACTAAGAGCAGCTCCGCTCCCAAGATGAATGACTGGTGACGCCTACGACTACTACCAGCGCGCTCGCAATCCGAGCAAAGTCTAGGGCTGCGAGCAGCACTGCTCACAATCCTAGCGACAAGCCTCTGATTGCGAGCAGGAGCGCTCGCAATCCTAGCTAGAATAACCAAGAATGAAACGCAGCGTTGTCGTCCCGCAGTCCCGTGAGCACGTGCACATTGCTGCGGATGGCTTCCCGCTCTCAACACGGGCCAGGCTGATCGAATGTTAGCACTCCGATGAGCAAGAAATGTTTCGCAAAATCCACCGTGTGTTCCTCAACCGGGAGCATGACCGGCAAGACGGAGACGCAGTCTTTGAAGATGCCAAACCGACAGCAAACTAGACAAACGATGATCTGTTTGGTTGTTTTGGCAAACAGTTTAGTATTTGCCGATAACTTGGCGAACAAGAGGCAAACAAACGAGGTACTCGGACATTTCGTCAGTAATCTGTCTGTGAGGGTCCGCCCGCAGGCGCATTTTGTGTGACGCACCCCCCCGGACTGGGCGGAGAAATCCCAGGAGCACGCTCCTGGGCACTCCGCCCCCCGCCCCCACTTGCCCTGTCCCCTGACTGCGTGCCCCGACACAAAGTAATGGCGACACATATAGCGCGGGGGACACTGCGCCGCCGCCGGGGGGCGGTATGCCGCTACACTTCGGTGCTTTGTGTGGGTCGCGTTCCCATGGCAGCTGTGTGGCTGAAGCCCTCGTGCCGCTGGCGTACTACGTCCACCCCCCCTTCTCAGGAGGTGGTTCGGCAAGCGGCGACCCCTCGAGACACCGTGTAGCGTGTTGGTGCTTGGTGGGGAGGGAGAGCGGCGGCGGGAGAGAGAGGGAGGCCTGGTGAGTGAGGGGGAGAGTGAGCATGTACACATCATAAACACGTGTAAAAGCTCCCCTTCCGCTTCCCAACGCCTGAACGAAAACCTTCCCTGGGACCCCGTGTTGCATGTCTGACTGTCACTGTGCGATTTCGGGGCCCGGGGTTGTGCGTTTATGTGACAATACTGACGGTCGGCCGGCGTCACGCCAATTCGCACAATTGTCATAGGGTGATAATCCACCTCGAGACCTCGAGAGAGAGCGCGTCCAACGCGCAAAACTGCCGCCCCCGTTGGGGCTCGCGAGTGGGACAGCTCGAACACGATCGCAGAAACGCTGCTTTGGCTCCAATGGGGAACGCAACCTCGGCCATCGAGACCAGCGGCGACTGCCACGGCACCGCAGCGCGTCGACAGAACAACCGTGACGTCTTCGGCGCGGGCGTGTCCGCGTTTCGGCAAGAGCTCAGCGGTGACGGGTGCCCCGCTCCCATCCCGATCCGCGAGGCGTCCATGCGTGCGCGGCCTCGCGTCGTCGTTCGCAAGCGCCCGCTGTTCGAGCACGAGGCCGCTCAAGACTTTGACGTCCTCTCGTGTCAGGGCGGCACCGACGTGTGGGGCGAAGGCGATGCGGCCGCGCTGTGGGTCACGCGCGCCATGCTCGCTGCCGATCACCGGACGATGTACTGCGAGCACCACGGATTTTACGCGGACGCCGTCTTTGGGGAAGCTGCGAGCACAGCCGAGGTGTACAATGCGGTGCTCGGCGGCCCGCTGCAGCACGGCTCAACGACGGTGCTGTGCTTTGGGCAGACCGGCTCCGGCAAGACGTTCACGCTCGCCGGGATCATCGACATTCTGCGGGAGGCGCTGCCGAGTGGTGGCGGCCGGTGGCGAGTGAGCGCCCTCGAGGTTGCCGGCAATGCGGTGACGGACTTGCTTCACGCCTCTGCTCGGTGTGTGCTCCGAGACGACGCCGGGCGTTGCACGCGCGCCGTGCTCCTCCCTGCCAGGGCGGCGGACACTGCTGGAGAGGGCGGCGCGGAGCCGAGCAGCAGCGGCGCGCCGTGCCTGCTCGTTGGAAGCGCCGCGGAAGCCATCGACGCGATCGTCGACGCGGCGCGCCACCGCTCGACGCACCGCACCGGCGTGCACGATGCCTCCTCCCGCACGCACGCTGTCTACCAGTTGGAGCCTGTCGACAGCGAGGGCACTGGCCGAGGGGCTGGCGGACGCCTCTGCCTCACCCTCGTCGACCTCGCCGGTTCGGAGTGGGCGCGTGACCAGGTGACACTTCCGAGAAGCTTCCGCCGCCACGCCGCCAGACCCGCGTGCGTGAGAGCCACTCTTGCCAAGGCCTCCAGTCGCCCTCCAACGCCGTCTGGCCAGCGCTGCTGCCACCTAGCTTCCCCGGGCTTTGACTCCGCCCGACGCGCCCCGCGCAGGTGAGCCACGAGCGCGCGCGGCGCAAGGAGGCGCAGGAAGTCAACGCCTCCCTCTCGGCGCTGAAGGCGTGCCTCGCGGCGCGCGCAAGCGGAGTGCGCCTGCCAGCACGCGACACGGCGCTCACGCGGCTTCTGCGCGGGCCGCTGGAAGGAGAGGGGCGGATGGTGCTCATCGCCACCGTCTCGCCCTCCTCTGCCGACGCGGAGCACGCGCTCGACACGCTCAGCCACGTGGGGCTGCCTGTGAGGACGGTGGCAGGCGGCGCGGGCGGCGGCGGCGCGGGCGGTGGTGGGGGCGGTGGCGGGGACGGTTCTGCCCACCGCTCAGTCGTGGGCGGCGCCTGCGCCGATTGGCAAGGCGTCGGGCCGTGCGGCGCGCGCGTGCTCACTCGCCGCCTGCAGGGCCGGGCCTCACTCATGCGCGGCGAGGTGGCGGGCAGCGTCGACGTCGACCGCCCGCTGCCGCCCAGCCCGCGAGATTGGACCTCGGCGGAGGTTGTGCGGTGGTGGCTCGCGACGTCGACCGCTGCGGTCGAGCGGATCAACGCCGAGGTTGCGGAGGCGGCCGCTGCGGGGTTCGCCGCCGCGGAGCAGAAGAAAAGGCGCGCCCCTCGCCGCCGAGGCGGCTCTTTTGCGACGCGCCCTCGACTCGACCCTGACGCGTCCGTGACGTCTTCTCACAGGCTGCGCGTCGTGCTGCGCGGCGCCGAGTGGCCGCCGCGCACCAAGCTCGGGCTCAGCTTTGAGCCTCCCGGCCTCGCCGACGCACCGCCCACCGCACCGCCCACTCTCTCCCGCGTGACTCCGCGCACGCCGATCGCCGATGCGTCACCTCTCATCCGACGGGGGACGCGCTTGGTCGGCTGTCGGCTCGCGCTTGCGCAGGAGGAGGGGGCGCCACCGGAAGGCGCGCGTAGCGACGCCGGAGAGAGCTTGACGGCTGGCATCGACCACCGAGCTGGTGCCAGCGACGCACCGCCGGGCAGGTCGGGGCTCTTGGCAGAGTTGCGGCGCGGCTCGTTGGCACTGACGCGTGTGGCGGACGCGCTCGACGCGGCGGAGTCGGAGGCGACGCGCGCGGCGGAGGCGCCTAGATGCCTCAGACCGTTCGCTTGCCCGGCCGACTACGTAGTCCACTACAGCCTCTGAATGCGAGGCCCGCTGACCCTTTGCGGTGGCGTGGTGGGACGCTCAACCCCCGCCTTCACCGTGCAGGCGGAGGAGGTGCCGCGCAAACTCGACGACGACGCGGCGCTGCTCCGCGCCTGGGTGGTGGGCGGGGAGGCGGCGCAGGAAGAGGAACGGCGGCGCATTGCCCGCCGCACAGAAGAGGAGGTGGAGGCGGAGGCGGCCGGGCGCGCCGCAAGCGTCGCGGTAGCACGGGCGCGGCTCGATGAAGCCAGGGCGGTGCTGGCGCGGGCAGCGGCCGCGGCGCGCCAGGTCGAGCTGGAAATCACGTTCGAGCCTGCCGCCTTTGGCCGGGCGGAGGTGCCGCGCGTGCCACGGCACTTCTCCGGTGCGTCGCGGCTCGGGCAGGGCGACGGCAAGGCGTTCATGAACGCGTTCGCAGACCCCGAGCGGGGGCTGCGGTCGCTCATTGTCGCGTGCGAGGGTGACACACGCGTCGCCGAGACACTCTTCCAAGCGCTCTGCGCCTTGGCCGGCACGACACCGCGAACGGCTGATTGATGTACTGACGTAAGGTCGACGGGGAGGAGGAGGCGTATTTGGCTCTGCGCGCCTGTAGTGCTGTCAGTCAGTGTGTACGGCTCTACCCGGAGTACTGACTTCACACAGCACACGAAACGCGTCGTCCGTCGAAACCACACCGGACACCGAGGGAGAGCGAGGTGCCGAGGAGCGAGAGGTCGAGCTCCTCCGTACCAGCTTCGCCTCGCGCCGACGCGCTTGAGGCTTGTCGCTTGTGAGAGAGGCGTGCGTTTTGCGGGGTGGTTCCGGTTAATATATGTGTAAAGCCCCGTACATACGGGGTACCGTACCCTTTACATCATCCGATACGCAGTTTGCGGGGGCCCCACAACCGGTCCGTCGATCGCGTGGCGCACACATACAATCACCCTCGCGCGAGACTCCATAAAACCCAACAGTAAATACCGTGTATTTACGGTATGCCATGTGCGAGACCGTTCTTGATCTTACGGCGGTCGAAACACCTCTCTGACGCGCTCGATTTAGTCTTGTACCTTGCGAGCTTTTACATCATGAGGATTCTCTCACCCCGCAGCCGCACTCACCTGAAGGATGGCGCGCTGCAAGTCCTCCTGCAGGTGCGCCGCCTCCTCGAGGCCGACGCTCACGCGCAGCAGCCGCGGCGAGATGGCGTCGTCGTACTTCCGCCGCCACTCGATCAAGCTCTCCACGCCGCCGAGGGACGTCGCGTCGCGGAACAGCCGGAGGGCTGCGGGGAGGCTGCGCGCAGCTTGCTCCGACGCGAGCTCCAGCGCGAAGCAGCCGCCGTAACCGCCGCTCATCTGCCGCCGTGCGACCCCATGCGACGGGTCCGAGGGCAGCGAAGGGTGCGCCACCGAGTGCACGAGCCCTACGGCAAGGTCAGGTCGGGTCAGGGCAGGCATCTCTTCACACTAGGTCGACCCTCGCGACTCCACGTCGAACGACAGGAGCCCCCCGCAGCAGTAACAGTGCGAGGCCCAGTGCGCGTGGGTGGGCGGGCCTGCCAGCGGGTGGCCCGCCTCCCTCCGCACGGCGCGATCCAGCCAGTGGGCAAGCTCCGCCGCTGTCGCCGACTGGCGCTCAACGCGCAGGTGGAGGGTGCGGAGCGATCGCATCAGGAGCCAGACCTCCAGTGCACCCGGCGTCGACCCGACCGCCGAGCGGTCTGCGCGCAGCTCCGAGGCCAGCGCGGCGTCGCGGACGCACAGCGCGCCACCGATCGCGTCAGAATGCCCCGCAAGGTACTTGGTCGTCGAGTGCATGACAATGTCTGCGCCAAGCGTCAGCGCGCGCTGGAGGGGTGGCGGCGCGAACGTGGAGTCGACGACCACCCGCACGCCACCCAATTCCCGCGCAGCGTCGGCGTAAGCAGCCACGTCGGCCACGTGGCAGTCCGGGTTGCGCGGCGTTTCGAGCCACACCACGTCGCCCTCGCGCAGGACGGCCGCCGCGTCCTCCGGTGTCGGCAGCGGGATCGGGTTGCAGCTAGCTCCGCCCGAGATACGCTGGAGCTGCTCAAGGACTTGGTGCGTGCCGTGGTAGCCTCCCGAGATGGCGACGCGGCTCGGCAGCAGCCGTGAGAGCGCTCCGAAGGTGGCCGCCAAGCCGGAGGCATACAGCACCGCTCTCGCCGGCGAACTTGGCGTGCCCTCGATGGCGCCGAGCAAAGTCTCGCATCGTTCCCTGGTTGGGTTTGAGATGCGACTGTAGACGTGCCCGTCGGATCCGGGCTCAGGGCAGGTGAAGGTCGTGCTCAGAGACAGCGGCGGCGACACGTCGTGTGCCGTCGCCATCCTTCCTCCGCCGTGGTCTTCGAGTGCATCAGCGTGGACGGCGGCTGTACTGGAGCCGCGAAGGATCGCCGCAGATCCTGCATCCGATGATCCTGCATCCGAGGAAAACACAGCGCGCCGCGCGATGAGCAGGAGCGGCCGCTGCGCAGCGGCTCGTCGAAGCATGGCTTCTCACCACGCCCCGGCCTCGCCTACTGTGCTGCATGAATGGTTGGGCAAGTGTGAACACCACCTCGTGCCACGGCGCCGCAGGCGCCTGTTGATGGGTCCAGGTGATAGCCCTGGATGGGCAATGCATACGCCTAGTTGGACCTCAGATCGCCCGACCGCGTCCCGGTGCTCTGTGGTCGGATTTGTGACGCCGCCACACCGCACCGCGGCCGGGGGCCCTCCGGAGGACGAGGATGGCCGTGACGGACCGGGACGAGCTCTGGGAGGTTCAGTGTCAGTGAGTATATTGTAAAGACAGACCATATGCACAATATCTCTCAGTCTAGCTAAGCCTGGGAAGGCGATGCCGGGGCCGTACAACAGCTTGATGGTGCTTCGCCGGCGTGCGTCCCGGAGCGGTCCCGGACGGGCGGTCCGTGGGACAAAATCGGGGGACAACGCCGACGGCGCTCTGATTCGACTTTTTACTTCAAACAAAGACAGTGGCACGCGCCGCGGCGCGGTGCATGCCACTGTCAGGAGCGGATCGTGTCCCCCACAACTTGCCCAACCATTCAGGGCGACGAGTAGAGTTGGAAGGAGATGGGAAGATGGAACAGCCCGAGGGAGGAGCGAACGAAAACACGTATGGGAGGTTGAAGTCATGCACCACGCTGCCCGGCGTTTCTCATATTTCCCCAAAAAGCTAGGCCCACAACGACGGTGTGTGTGTTGCCGCGGCGATGCCTCCGTCCGGCTGCTGTAGCGGGTGGCTTGCTGCTCGCTGCGATGGCGAAAAACTCGTCTCGTCGCACACCAAGAGCTTATGCTCTGGCGAGATGTGAGGCGCATGCGCCCAGGAGGGGAGGGCGCATGCGTAACGACGCTGCTAGAGATGCCTTTCGGGGCCCAAAGATAAAACTTCTGATGCCATGCGTGACCTAGTAGTGTCCCTTGCTATGGGCGTGTCCACGTTGAGAGTATCTGGCCGAGCGCGCGCGCGCGACGTGGGGACCGTCTATTAGGCGGGCAGTTTGCACGACGTGCGCGTGGGGTCTATGTAGTTACCGAAAGATCTTTCGTCATGGCAAACACTTTCTCGATCGGCATCGGGAGCACGCAGCTCTGGGTGTCAAACGTAACCACCGGGGGCGACATACTGGCTTCTTCGCGTTCGTCGCCGATGTGTCGGTCATGGCGACTTTTTTTGACGACGCGGGCGTCGGTCACGGGCCGCTCGTGTGGATGCGAGAATAGCTCCGCCGTTCATGGAGGCAACCGATGCGAGTCGACTGGTGTGTGTCGTCGTGGTTTCGTATCAAGAGTACTCACTCACACACACAAGCTCATCGGCTGCGTCGAACAGGCCACATCTGCGCGATGGCCATCTGCATGCACCTCGATCCTGTGCCGTGTTTGTTCTGACCCAACCAACCAAGGAACACACACACACACACCAGTGAGGGAGGGCGAGACGATCGATGGGTCCCGTACCATGCGGAGACGCAGGAAACCAGGCAGGGTGCGAGAGGAAACTCTCGTACGGCCTTCGCGGCACCGACGGGCATGGAGCCGCAGCTCGGTCGGTCGGGGTTGATGAGATCCGCAGCCGCAGTGCGACAACTTTAATTTTGGTATTCAACTTCCTCTCTGGACTCGCACGTCGGTGTGTGTGACGAGAGGAGGGCTTGTTTTCTCTGTTTTCTAAAAAAAAGCCTGGGCGGGGCGGCGGGCGGGCGGGCGCGCGGTGCGGAACGGCGTGTGCGTGTGTGTGACTGCGACAAGGGACCATTGGGTTTGTATTATTAACAACGAAGGCGAGGTCAAAAAAAAAGTGCGTGCGGCGCCTCGCAGTCTAAAGAGCGTTCCCTCCTGGAATGGCTGGAGTGGTGAACCTCACGGTCTGTTCTGCGGGCGGCGCCGGGCGCGGGTCGACATGGTCGCCGTGGATGTCGCTTTCCTCAGTCGCGTTCGAGAAGCAGGATCCCGATCGCTGGTTCGCGGAGCTCGAGCTGTCGGGCGTGCCCGGGGCGCCCTTTCACGGCGCGCCCATGCTGCCCGTGACGCACCAGAGCGCAATCTTCGGGCACTCCTCCGTCAAGCAAAACGCCCACAACCGGGAGCGCGGGGTTTGGTTCTACTATGCGCGGGGCTGCAGGCGCGCCCACACACGCTTGTTTGGCGGCCCTCGCACGGACACTTTCCAGACGCCTCCAATCGAGGAACGATCTGGCCGTACGTGGCTCCGCACTGCCCTCTAATCCGCCCCACGCGATGCCCCGCAGCGACCTGTGGTACGACCCAGGCACGACGCTCGTAGCCCTCAACAAGGTGGACGCGGCCCTCAAGCTCGCCGCGCTCTCTTCGCATCGGGGCTCTCACAGCAGACTGAAGGTTCACGGGGCCGACTACAGTGTACAGCGGGGAGGAGTGGATGCTACCGGCCGCCAGCGGCGAGCCGTGGCCGAGCTTGCGAGCTGGGTGTGGAACCGGTGCCTGCGGCGCAGCGCGATGGCGCGCGAGCGCTACAGGAGCGCGCTCAACACGTCGAACCGCGCCCTGTCGGAGCTGCTCTCGAGGGCGGCCGCCGGCCCTTTCCCGCTCGACCGGGAGACAGGGCGGACTGCCCGATCTCCCGCCTTCCAGTACGCGCACGCCCTCGGCAGGGGAGCGTGTGTGGGCGAGTGCGCGCGGCAGGAGGTTGCGGCCTGCCTGTGGCTCTTCGAGTTCCTCGACCCGTTTCTGATCGCTCGTGGCCGCGCGCTCGGACTGCGCTCTCTTCAGCTGCTGCAGTCGCCGCACGCGGGGTATCTGTTCTTCCGGGAGCCCCATAGGCACGCCGCACCGTGTAGCATTCACCCCGGGTAGCCAGCTCTCGACCCCCGCCGTGTTTCGATATGGTCGGTCGGTAGTAACGGAGAGTCCGCCTCCGCCACACCACAGGTGGGCCGTCGAGATCCTCGACCTCGCTTCTGCCGACCGGCTCGCCACCGAGGCCGAGCGCGAGCCCGGCGCGCTCTTGGAGCGGCTGCGTGGTGCGGACGGGGAGGTGTGTGAGCCGGCTTGCTTCTTCGCCTGCTGCGCGGCGTGCCTCAATTCGCCGCTCACGCTGCGGCTCTGCTTGGAGCAGCGTGGCCAGCGGCCCACGCCAGCCCGAGGGCACCGCCCCCCCACCTTCTTCCCCAAGGTGGCTATGTGCGGTGGAGGCTGCGAGCGTGGCCATGCGGACACTCCGCCGCCGCTGCTCGCGGCAGTGGAGTACGTACGTGCGCGGCGGAATGCATCTGGAGAACGTGGTCGAGTCCTATCCTCAGTAGATGCTCACTCCTCAGGAGATCGGGCGGTAGTTCCTCATTGACTATATCTACTTAGTGTGTCGTGGTCTTAGTCAATCTTTTCTACTTGTACTCTTCCCCATGGGTGCGCTTCATAGAGCTCCCCGGCGCCCGGTGGAGGAAGAGAGGCCACCTACCGCGAGATCCGAGTCGGCGAGTGCACTCCAGATACCAGAAGTGCTCAAGTTGCGCGGCGAGGCGGTGCGCCGCGTCGCGGCCGCCCGGGCCGGGCCGCCGCCAGCGGCCCGACGCGCCGCGTCCCACGCACCCGAAACCGTGCGGCTTGAGCAAGTAGTCCTTGAGCGGAGCCGTGTCGCCCGTGCAGACGAGCGCGCCGTCCGGGTTGAGCTCGAGCGCGAGGCGGAGCGGCGAACCGGCCTGCGGCGCGCGCTTGGAGGGGAAGGCGAGCGTCGACTGGGTCATCCGGGCCCCCCTGCAGCACCCCCAGCAACCAGCCACAGCGGAGCGTCTGCGCCCCTCCAGCCTCGCTCCGCAGCATTTCTTTTCGCTTCTTTTCGTAAAATTCTTTTCGTATTCCTCCCGCTCGGGTGTGTCTGCTGCGTTTCTTGCCTGCAGGTTTTTCTTTTTCTCGGGATGTCCACCCCGCCGCGCCGCTCGCGCCGCTCGCGCCGCCTCGCCGCCCCCGCCTCCACCTTCACCGCCCCCTCGCCGATCACGCCGCCGCCCATCCGCCTCCTCGACCTCCCCTCAGAGCTCCTCGCGCGCGCCCTCTCTCGCTGCGAAAGCCCCGTCGACATCGCTCGCGTCGCGGCCGTCTCGCTGCTCTTTCACGCCTCGCTCGTGGTGGAGGCCATCCGCTTGTGGGCGCAAGAGCGCGGCTTCGAGCTGCCGGCGCAGCCAGAAGGTGAGGGCTGCGCCGTGCGGTGGCTGTGTTTCGCTGCGCTGCTGTGCGAGGCCAACCCGGCGGCGAGGGCGGCGGCAGGCATGCGGCACAGCGTCTTCATTGACGGCGAGGGCCGGCTCTCGTCGTGCGGAACGGCAGCTGAGGGCGAGGAGGAGGACGACGACGACGAGGAGGACGAAGAGGAGGAGGATTTTCCAGGCCTTCTCGGCCACGGCGAGGGCGTGCTGCAGCTGAAGACGCCGACCCGCCTCCCGTCGACGCTGGGCGGCGAGCGCGCCGTGAGCGTGTCGGCTGGCTATACTCACAGCCTCGCCCTCACCGCCGGCGGCGCCGTTTGGAGCTGGGGCGAAGGAGACTCAGCCCGGTTGGGCCACGGCGACGAGCAGCCCCAGTGGCAGCCGAAGAAGATCGAGGCCTTTGCGGGGCAGCGCGTCGTCTCTGTGTCGGCTGGAGGCACCCACAGCCTCGCCCTCACCGCCGACGGCGCTGTGTGGAGCTGGGGCTGGGGATACTTTGGCCGGTTGGGCCACGGCAACCAGCAGCACCAGCGGCAGCCAAAGAAGATCGAGGCCTTTGCTGGGCGGCGCGTCATCGCTGTCTCGGCTGGATATCTCCACAGCCTCGCCCTCATCGCCGACGGCGCCGTCTGGAGCTCGGGCAGTGGA